CATCTAACGGCCCAGCAGTTGTATTTCCGCACCCCAAAAAGGGGAACGCCGAGTAAGCTGCAGAACGACTAAATCCCACACGTTTTCTCACCCGCTCGTGCATCCAGGCTGGACAGGCAGACCGGCAAGCTTCCAATTGAAAATTCCCGCGGCACCGATCCCTCACGCTGCAGAAGTCGTCACCCATGCTGAAGAAGGATTCAGTGTTGACATGGATTGCACGCGAAGGTCGTAGTGGGCCTTGAACAAGCCCCAATCATGTGATCTTCGAGCCACCAAGTGGGATCGAAATCGGTTTTTTTTTTTTTAATTATTATTTTTTTTTAAAAAAAAATTCATTTTAAAGTTTCTACTGGGTCACACACACGAGAAGGAAACAAATAAAACCGTAACGGTTTTTATTTTAAAACTGGGGGCGTTTGATAAGGTCCGCACGAGGAATACACCCTTGGACACTGCATCGATACCGCCATTGCGTCGTCGACGACACTCGATGGCATGGGGGGCATTTTTTCTCTCTCTCTGCGGTCTTGTGTCCTACTAGTACTCGCCGGAGTATGCACCTTTTCCTCCGTTCTCATCATCAGACCCTGAAACGTCGACAAGAGAAAAAAAAGTACGGGTATACTCCACCCGGCCAATGAAATTCAGGAGCGCGCGGAAGAGATGAAGCAGACTTGCGACTAACTAGTCGTCGTCTAGTCGATAGTCGGATGGGATGAACGGGTACCCAGGACTCGGGGCAGGTCCATGAAAGTGGGAAAATCCCATACCTAAAAAATCCTAAAAAATTCCCAAACGAAAATACTAAGACGATCACGGATGCGTGATCGCAGACTCAAACCTGACGAATCAGGGCGACCCGTTCCCCGCAGCGCGACCGACTCGCACCAATCAGCGCCACCCGCCGTACCCTTGACAGCCCTGTACATCCATTACTGCGTTGGGGAATTTTTCAGATCCTCCACCTGGATTTGGGCGGATGTCGGCTCTGGCATGACGGAAATTCCCCAATCGATCCCTAGCACAAACTGGCGATATTGGCTGTAATGATGATCGGCCCTGTGGCATTGGACGAGATACATTCTGGCCTCCCAGCCTAAGGGAACTTACCCCGGCAATTGGGGATGTTGCCTAGAGGTCCTTGCTACTTAGCGAAGGGTGAGTTAGATGCGCGCGACTTCCGACACCCACAGTCAGGGCCTCGTCTCCATGACTCTCTCCCCCCCCCCCCCCCCTATGCCGGATGGGGAAGGTCCCTTTCATTAAGTTAGTTTAGTGAGCAGTTCGACTATCGACAAGTCATTTTACCCTCATTGCCTCCTCTCAGACTAGCGTTCGGACTATGATGATCCTGGTTCCTCAACGCTAAGATAGAATAGACCGGCAGCCTGAGTCGGGAAATAACCACAACAACCACAACCACCACGTCGAGTCCATACTATCTTTTCGCCCCCTTCGACGGGTTGGACCCCAACCCTCCCGCAACACGTGGGACTGCCTGCAAGGTAAGGCCCCTGCAGGCATCCCTGGCGGGCCAATCGATGTCGGCAGGGATCCCACCCACTGCTGGCTCAACGGTTTCTTATTGATTGTCCGGCCTGCAATCGTTATATTAATTGATACTGAGAGCAGCGAGCCACTTTGGGCTCACGTCTACGCGGGGCCGTGAGGGTGGCATTCGACTGGGCGTGAGGGGGGCTAGGTCGAATTGCACTTTTTTATTTTGATATTCCGAACATCTGAATTCCATAGCAACATGAACCCATTCAATTTTCTTTCCCCGCCCCTCCCTTCTCCTTTGACATGGTCCCCATGTTATCCTGGAATAGTACCAAGTACCTAGTAATTGTTCTCCAAAACCAAAACAAGTAAACCTACAAATACCGTCTAGCCCGTCACCCGGCCAATGTTGTCTAGTGACGGAGCCCAAATCACAAAATTATACAAAAAAAAAAAAAATAAAAATAAAAAAATAAAAAATAAACTCAGGTCAATCCCCTGCGCCGATTGCTGGCCCAACACGCTAAGCAAGAAGACAATGCAACCCACGAAACAAAAGCAAGGATTAAGACACGGTTGCTCCGAAGCTAAAGTATGATGCTCGAGTCGTAGGGTGGTAATACATATTGACAGAAATCCAAAGTGTACATGGCCCATATCTCTCCACCCAAAAAAAAAGTAAATTTCAAAACTGTACAACTGTAGAAGGAGATGAAACGAAGAGAAAACTAGGCAGCCTCATGCAGGCCGTGTGTGGCCTGGGGGATGCAGCCCAGCAGCCGCTGCTCCGTACGGGAAGTAAAGCTCGGGGTATGGGGTGTGATAGGGTTGGGGCGGCGGCGGCTGGAGACCGTGAGGGCCATGGGGTGCCGGAGGGAACGGCGCTACCGTCCGGGGATCGATGGGTGCATACGGCGCCATTGACCCCCGCGCTGGAGGCATGGGTGCCAGTTGGGGATGTGGACCGGGAGGGCCGGGCGCCAGCGAGCCTGGCCCAGGCATGGCTGGTGCTGGAGCAAGACCTGTGTCGGCTCTCGGGGGCCCCCCAAAAACTGGACTGTCTGATTTCTTCTTTTTGCCGACAATCTTGGGAGGTTCGGCTGCCTTTCTGGCAGCTTCGGCCGCCCGATCGGCCTCAATCTGGGCTTTGGATCGTTTCGGGTTACGGGTCCGGCCCTCCCGGTTGAACCGGGCCCAGTGGTTGAGCATGGCCTCTGTCCGCTTTGGATTTTTGGAGTTGGCGATCTTTTCGCGGCGAGCCTTCTCAGCGGGGTCGAGTAATTCATCATGGGCAACGCCTGCCTGAGTGCTGACAGGAGTCACAGTGGCTGAATCCCCGCTGGGCGCCGGTTCAATTGGCGCCAACTGAGCCGTTGCAGGACGTGATTGTAACGGCCCAGCGGACGTTGCAGCCTCGCGGCCATGGCCACGACCAACCGACCGAGCTGGCGCCACTGGCGCCACAGGCTGCGGAGCCTCCGAGCCCGCACGAGACATTCCACGCGCAGCTCCCCGCCCGCGGCCCCGGCCCCGGCCACGAACGGATCCTCGTGAGGGGGCCGGAGACCCTGTGGGTTGAGTATCCAGCTCCCCAGCACGCCGGGTGCGAGTGCGCCGCTTCCCAAATGACTCTTCCTCTATGGGTGCTGGTGTCCCGTTCAATGCCTCGTCGGTCTCGTTGGCTTTGTTGGCTGCTTCCAACTCTGCGGCCTTGCGCTTGCGAGTTGCCTTACCGACGAACTCCTCTCGCGGAGGGTTCTGAAACTTGGGAACATGCTCAACGCCGAATTTCGTAATTGTTGGCCAACCGTCCGGATTAGGATTATTTGGGCCAGCTTTGGCAGTCATCTTTCTGAACTGAGCTGGCGTAGGCTTGAATCCACCTTGAACGAAGGGGTTCTGGTTGCGAACTTTATCTTCTTTCGTTTCATGCTTGTAGCCGTAGAGCATCGCCTCCTTCTTGTCTTCATAAACCTCGGGTCGGTCGAGTTTCCGTGGGTCGCTGGTTGCCTTTACATTTTGCCGGGTTGCATGTTTGCAGAGCTTTTCGATGGCCAAGTACTCGTCTTGCCATACCTTTAGGACATTGGCAACGTTTTCAGTGATGGCGTAAAGCTCATCGCTTGAGCGCAGTTCAGGATCACGGAGTTGGACCAAGAAATTTTCCAGAGGCGAGATCTCAAGAAAGTCTCCTCTAGAGCTCTTTGAGTTTTTGTAAGGTTCCGGGCGTACTAATAATTCAGATGTATCACGTTTCTTGGCACGTTTGGGGTCCTCGAAGACTTTCATCCAGGTTCCACTGATGTTGGCCGATGTCTCTTCAAAACCTCCAGAAAACTTGCTGATTTCATGGAGGTTCCAGAGGTTATGAATACGTTTGTCCAAGGACACCGAATCTTCTTGGCGAGAAAACTCGTGGAGTTGATTGAATAGAGCAAGGTCTGACTCGCCTTCATGACCGTCTCCGTCCCCTTCGGCATCAGGGCCGTCAAGGTCGTTCTGGTCATTTTCGTTATCGTAACCTTCCATGGCTTCAGTACCTTCATGCACACCATCATCGGCGGCTTCCATTAGACCGTCTTCTTCGGCCTCCAGAGCATCATCTGCTTCCGACACTGGTGCTGTGAGTACAGTGTCATCTCCAGGGTGTTCGTCGACGTCATATGCCTCTTCTTTCTCTTCATCGGCGACGCCATCATACAAAGAGAATTTGGCAATGTGCGGATGCATCGTAGCCATGTGTTCTTCGAGAGCCTCATTTTGAGAATATGGATCGTCATCTGAGGACTCAAAGAATTTCCCACACCATGCGCACTTAGCTCTGGGGGTGGTGGGTGAAGGGGATGGCGAGTGAGTCGATGTAGAATGAGCATGGAGTGGCTCGGAGAATTGTCGGCGCAGCTGCGAGTCGTGGCTGGCCATGTCCGAAGTATGGCTGTCCATGTCAATGTCGCTTTGAGCGACTGGAGCCATGGCTAGAAGAAAATGACTTGAAATACTCGAGTCAAGGTAGAGTATTAAATAAAAAGAAAAAAGAAAAATGGATATCCACGATGAGAGGTGATGCAATTTTCACACTCTAGGAGACCCAAGACTGGGGCCTACATATACTGTGTTAGTAGAGCTTGGGTTGAAAAGTTCGCTTCCGGTGCCAAGACACCCGGAGTACGTGCAGTGCAATCGTGAACAACAGAGGGTAGCATGTGCAATGGCAGATGGGGAAAAGAAAACCATGTGTGGTAGGGAGAAAAAAAAAAAAAAAAATACAGGCGGGCCGCTAGAAGAAAAGCGACCTACCAACAGGGAGTATAATAGTAGGAAAAACTGAACAAAAGGTTGAAGTAGGTACTTCTGGTGGCCAGACTGGAAGAGTAGTGCCCGGCCAGATGTACTGAACGGGAATGTCACATACCTTTCGAACGGAAGTAAAGAAATCGTTTGTAGAAAATACGGACAGGAATAGTAAGGGATGTGGGGGATAGCGTGTGGGTGTTGGTTGACAAGTTGACAAGTTGACGACGAAAAAGTTGTTTGGGTCTACAGTAGCTCGCAGCCCGTGGGTTGGTCGCGAACGGCTGCCAGGGATAGTACAGTAAATTGAAGTCGTAGTCTTGCCTTCTTGAAAGGGAAAAGTCGAGCGCCGAGCCGGTAGGCAGAGAATCTCGGTATAGTCCCAACCACGATCAAGACAGAACAAAAAGTGTGCCAATGAGATAACGTGTCGAGTGGATGATGGACAATTTGGCGACTTCGGAGTAGTGTAGTAATTTTAGATGTCCGCAAAGTAGAACTTTGTCGCGGTAAGGAATTCGGGCGGGTATGCAGAAAAAGAAAATGAGGGAAAAAAAAAAAAAAGACTACGCTCTGAACCACGGGCGAAACCGAAATAACCAAAGTCTCTCCAAACAAGACAAAGCACAAGTACAGACGTGATGAAAAGAGAAATTGTGAATCTTTAGAGAAAGTCTCTGCTGGTAGCATGCAGCATGAGGCTGTCAAGGTGGTAAAATCTGGAGCGAATAAGCAAGTTTTGCTTCCAATTACGCTCGCGAAAGAGAAGAAGCGCGATGGGCGCAGTCGAGAAGAAAGCGCAAAGGATCAGTGATGAAGAAGAGATTGAAGTAATAGATGGTGGCACAAGCTGTTTGGAGTAGACGTTCCTGGACGAATGGACGTTGTACAGGCCAAGATGGAGTAGTTGTTGTCATGTAGTGTAGAAGAAGTATGAACGTCTGACGAAAGGTTGGTAGACAGACGGTAGAAGGGAAGTGGGAAGAGACAAGAGAACTAAACGCGCACAGAGGAGGGAATCGAGGAGAAACACAAGAGAACACGGTGGGAGAGACTATAGGATTCGAGGAGGAGGACAGGAAGAGATGTCGCGTTGTGTTGTAGTGAATGATGGCAGATGAAAAAAAATGACCCTACTAACAGCCCGACAGCAACAAGCCTCTTCTCTGTATACAATAGGAGGTAAGGTAGTGAATTTACTATTGGTACCATACAGTATGAGTGGTACGGGAATTAATTACCCACCTAACCTGACCTGGTCAAAGCATCGACGGGCATGGTTAAGCCTGAGGGCCCTATTTTACTCCAGTACGGTAGTGCCATATTTCTTACCTTATTTTACCTGGCCGGACCCACCGGGGGGAAAGTCGATTATGATGGGCCTCCCGGAAAAAAATCGCCTCCGGACAGATCTTCCGCCTAGCCGCATTACATAGTACTCCTCAACCAATCCGAGGCACGATCGAGTTGAACTTGTTACCTGTCTGTATTCTGGAGGTATGGGCACAGGTCCCAATCTGGCTTTTCCGTTGAAAGCACAGTACTGACTGTGAGTACCTTGGACTGTCTTTCTTCCCCCGAGAAATCCAACAACCGATGATTATTCTATTTGTTTGGTATCTTCCACCTGATTCTAAAGGGCCGTCGGTCTCACAAAGAATAAAGATAATATCATTGGAGGCTATCAATAGCTCCCTGTATCAATGGACGTTTCACAGACCCTGCCAATTATTATCGGCCCTGCAATGTTTCTCAATGGACGGCGGGAGGCTGTAATTTTATTCGGTTCTGTAATATATGATACCGAACCTTGACATCATAACTGCATTCGTAACCACAACATACTCAGGTCCGTAGGCCCAACTCTACTTCTTTGAGGTGAGTTTAACTCGATGGGACTACTTCGCAGAGATATCATGTAATGGTCACTATCAGGAATCACAAAATTCCTGATAAGAAAGCTGTATGATGAGCAATGATCATGACTCACGGGAGAAATGCAGTATACAATAGTTGCATCGCTACTCTATTCATAATATGTATGTACAAATCATCATGCGGTCCCTTTAATGGTTTTTCTCTCCAACGTCCAGTGCAACTAGAAACCGACTAACACAGTTGTAAGCTGCTGCGGTGGCAGTGATTTCCACCACCTCTCGATCATTGAAGAGTCCCTTCAATTCTTGAAACACATCGTCAGGCACAGTAACCGTTTTCGTCATGGCATCTGTATACTTCAACACCGCAGCCTCTTCGGGACCTATCACCTTCTCTTGCGCTTTCTGGGCGATGTCAGCCTGAGCGTCACGAACGACTGCCACCGCTTCCGCACTGTATCCGCCTTCCATGAGCAAAGGCGAGTGTTGATCCCATTCGAACCAGGCTCCGTTGATTACAGCGATGCGGCAGATGATAAGTTCACGAATGGCTTGCGAGAGGCTAGTGCGGGTTCGGATAGCTCCGATGAACGAATTCCACCCATCGGCAACTGGGAACGAGTGCAGAAGGGCGAGATCCAGAGGTATTAAGCCTTTTTCACCACGTCGGGTTTGCACCCGGTTGAGGATTTCTGCCTCTTCAGGAGTGGCGGTAGGGGGCGGATTGGGAACATATGGAAGACGCATGTCGAATAATTTCGCTTGGTAGCCGCAATGCCCGGGCTGGTAAAGCGTAAGGAAGAGGGCGATAACTGTCTTGTTTAACTGTCGGCGGTGAGTTCTGGATTAATTAATCTGGTAATGGGAAGCTATACTGACCTTCTTGAATGAATAGGAATACTGTCCTTAACCGAGACGATGTATGGGAATTATGTTCGCAAAAAGGTCCTTAATTGTATTGTCAGGCTAAGACATGTGGGAACATCCCACTATTTATCTTGAGTCATGGTATCGTCTTATCATACCCCACGAGGAGCGGAAAAGTGCGCGGGATCGAAGCCGTAGCCGCGCGTTGAACTATAATGTCCCCCGCAGTCTCAGACAGTTCAATCCTTCGGTTATCGAAAGCTACCGGATTACAACTTTTACGTGATCATAAATCAATATACTCGTAACAAACCAGTCTAACATTTTCGTAATACCTTAATGCATAGCAACGGGGCTCCGTGTCTACTGACAGAAAGCCATGTTGCCACGATAATAACAAATTATATTAATTCGAAACATGGTATAGCTGAGGTACATACAAGGTAGGTGGTATAGTTCGCATGAGCACAGAGGTAAAGTTCTGTTTAGAATCCCTTGTGGCCATTGACAGCTTAGGAGTGAATATTATTTTCCATGTTACGCAAAGCTCAAAGATGTATCCACCAATTTATATGCTAACGAATGTCTGGCCAAGGGTACTCATAATGGCACATACTGTACAGCGAGAAGTGGCCTCTAACAGTATGACTAATGGTCATGATGGTTTGGGGCCGATAAAAAAAAAAAAAAAAAAAAAAGCTGTGTCTAAGGGTATACTTCTCTGTTCGAGTTATTTTCCTTTGTTATTTTTAAATTGCTTGAAACGAGTCTACTGTTCCAATGATAGCATACTTTTCTACTAGCGGAGATCCATGTACGTACAATCCGAATCATGTGGCTTGGTCATTAGTGTCAGGGTGAGTAGTAGTTTAGTAGTGGTTGAGCTTACTACTAAAAGCACTACACAGTATTAGGGTGTGCGATTCGGCTATCTTCCTGGCATGATATCAGAGCTATATACACTTTATCTACCCTTGAGATTGAAATCAGATGTTTTCAAGTCATATATGAATCTCGTTCTCTGTAGTTCTCATTATCATATTGACCGCTTTCAACCGAGGTAATTTGGCCAGTAGCGATGCCAACCTGCGGTGTGGTTAGCATGTTGAAACATGCTTTTATTACTTCTCGGCCAGAAACACATAACTGAACAAAGGTAATCTATCCAACAAGAAATTGCGTGTTTCACAGGACCGACAGGAAGATTTATTATGATATGCATTTCCTATGCAACCGAGTCGACGCCTCCTACTAAACTTATTTACAGTGGACACTAACGCTTCTTGGCACAGGTCATCAGGTCTCCACCGCCCAAAACACTGACTTTCTCAGGGAGCATACGTTTGATTACTTCGTCCACCTGCATACAGTCTTCGCTCTCCAATTCTCAACTGATGCTAAACACTCACTCGTGGTGAGAACGAGAATTAGCGACGCACGATGCCTCCGAAGTCCGTGAAACCAACCAGCGATGAGCTTCTCGCTCAATTTGACGACCTAGGGGTCGACTCGGCCACAGATCAGCCTGCCTCCAAGCCAGCTACCACGGCGCAAACCGAAGACGACATTCTTGCCGAACTGGATAACCTAGCTTCCCAGCGTCCGAGCAGTGGGCCCGGGACCCCGCGTCTATCGACAAATGAGCCCAGGCCGGCCGTCAAATCCCCTAAACCTGCTGCAGCTACACCCTCAACTGGGCGTTCCAGTGAGGAGAAACCCGTGCCCCGTAAGTCCACGGAGAGTGCCCGGGTTTCGTTTGCGGCCGACAAAGATGCGGATGTGCAGTCATCCAAGACCGAGAAACCAGCAGCCAAAGAGTCCGCCTCGAGCGGTGGTGGTGGATGGTGGGGAGGCATTTTCGCAACTGCGACCGCGACTGCCAGTGCTGCAATGAAGCAGGCTGAAGCGGCAGTGAAAGAAATTCAACAGAATGAAGAAGCCCAGAAATGGGCTCAGCAGGTGAAAGGGAATGTCGGCGCTCTGAAAGACTTCGGTATGTACCGTCCACATACAGCTGGCACGATTTCTTGCTCACGAATGTTATCAAGGTGGTGAGCTTCGAAACATGGCCATTCCTACGTTTACCAATCTTATCCACACTCTCGCCCCCCCGATCTCATCTCATGAACGCCTTCAAATCCACATCACGCACGATATCTCGGGGTACCCCGCCATTGATCCGCTTGTTTACGCTGTCTTCGCTCGTGTGATGTCCCAGGTAGAAGGTGGAGATCTTCTTGTGATCCAACGTGGTCAAGAATCTGCGCCAAAACGGGGGTTGGATATAACGGGTAGCCAGTCTACCCCTGGCTGGCGCGACGGCCCATGGTGGCGCACAGTTATGCCTGGAACCCCTCGCAGCATCTCGGCCGTGCCTGGCTCTGTAGAGGCTAGCAAGCTCGCTCGCGCAAGCGCAGAGTCTTACGCTACCGAGTTCTTCTCTGCCAAGGGTGGAGTTGAAGAAGCTGCGAAACAAGCTAGCCAGGTTCTGAGCGAATCCAACCCTGTCCGGAGCAGTGATATCTTCCTCGCCATCCAGGCGATTAGCCAACCTTCCTCCACCGAGCAGTTCCGGGCTGGTCCAACCACTGACAAGGCGACCCCGCCGGGCGTAGTTGATGCTCCCAGCGCTACGGAAGAGGAGGTGACCTTCGCTCTCTACCTCCATGACCCCATTCACGGCATCGCCTTCCACACCATTTCCCAGGCGGTTCCACAGAAATGGATTGACTGGCTCGATGCAGCTGTTCCAGCCACCGAAGACCCTGCAGCCGATGACATGTGGCACCGAGCTCCTGTTCCAGAAGACATTGCGGAGATCATCGAAAGTGGCGGCGTTGACCCTCGTGAATGGGCTGCTGAATGGATCGAAGAAGCGCTCACTTTAGCTATCGGCGTGGTGGCGCAACGCTATGTGGCCCGGAGAATGGGGGTTGGAGAGGCGGGAGCCGCAAAGGGCAAGATGCGCGCTGAGCAGGCTTCAGTCGTGGAAAGCGGCGCAGGAGAGGTGGCGCGGGCGCTCTAGGGTGGTTTCGTTCCATAGCTGTCTCTTCATTTGTTTCTACTTGCGATTCGGATTCTTAAAGACCACGATCAGATGATACTCTAATGCCGTTTTTCTCCTTGTTCTTCTGTGTTGTTTGTCTGCGGGTCCTTAATACAGCCATGCCACCAGAGCTACTTGCCAATACATTTGCCGCCTCAGGCGTACATAATCCTCACCGAGTTCCCTGTCCCTATTATATATAAAAAAAGATCATCAAGCGATGTAACAAAAGCATATATGCGACAGCCGTATGTTCTCCCAATACAATGATTGAATCCAACAGTGAAGTCTCTGGCGCTATAGGCCGAAAGAGAGTCTTCGCGGGTATCTAGTTATCTCATCATCTCGTTTTGTTCAATCTTCATATCAATCATCAAGATTAATCGGCCCCTCCAGATCAGGGACATGCCAGAAATTGGCGCGAAGAGCCGTGACACTAAGACCAGTCAGCTCTGATCTAACACACTCGCCCTGAAGAAAAGCGGAGACGTCAATGTCATACCTTGTGTCACCGTTCAACACGGTATGCGCATCCGTCCCCTCCCGACTCGACTGCAGTGTCTTCTTCATCTCCGACAACTCTGCCGCCCACGTAAAATCAATCTCCTTCAGATGCGACCCGCTCGACCCGTTGACGGTGGGTTCGGTGTGTCCATTCACCTTCTTGTCCGCGGCCACTTCGCCATACATGCAACCCCGCGGCCAGTAGTACGGCAAGGCCTCCGTCCAGCGGATGGGTCTGCTCTCCACATCCTCCCGCATCGGCACGTTCAGATTATACAGCTCGACATCCGCATGCCAATGCTCGTACAGGTAATTGACCACCTTCACGGCGTGTCTCGCCGCGGCGCGGATGATCTCATCTGGCTGCGGATCTTTACTCCCGAAGGAAATCGCAATCGCGCGCTTGCTGCAGGTGGCTGCCTCGAGGGCGCCCCCAACCGTTCCGGACGAGAGATTGTACACGGTCGAGGCATTGCGACCATGGTTGGGGCCGGAGATGACTAGGTCGACGGGGGGACGATCCGGGAAGAGATTGAACAGGCCCAATTGGACGCAGCTGGCCGGAGTGCCGTTTCGGATGACCACCCATTCGGGCTGGGTCTCGGTCTCGGTCTCTGCAGAGTCGACGGTCTCATCCCATGTGCCGTCGTCCCGGAAGGCAGACGGGGGTACGTAGGTTGCCTTCAGGGCGGCTTCTATCAGGTGGGCTTTGCCGATCCAGGATCGCGAGGCGGCGGGGATGGCTACGGAGACGAGGTGGCCTGCGTCTTGGAGGGCGTTGACGAATGGGTGAATGTAGGGCGAGAGACGCTTCGAGGGCGGTCCATCATCGTTCACCACCTATTTCCTTGCAAATCCGCGGGGGGTTCTGGTTAGTTCTTGTGCTCTTGCTCTCCGGTTTGGATTGGCTGCATTGAATATTTTTTTTAAAAAAATTTTTTTTTCTTCCATTTGTCCGTCGTGGTCTTGTGACGGGGGGGTGAGCCATTGAGGGAAAGGCGACAAGGTTAGAAGTTCCATACCAAGATATGCATGTTGAAGGTAGTTCGGCCTGTCGATCTATAGGGCTTGGCGGAGGTGGGAAAATCAAGTGGTGATGAAATCGGGATTCCGCTCTTCTTTTGGGAACTACAAATGTCTGGACTTCGTTGGATCTCGCTCGTCCGGTTCCGCGTTGGAATTATAGTATTTATAGGGCAGACTCTGCTGGGTAAGAATTGAGCCTGGAGTGCCCATTTCCATTACTGCATACCCCGACTACTACCGAAGACATACCGGGGAAGGACTCTCCAAAGTGGTCACGGTGAAGATACTGGAGCTGCGGGGGTTCCATCTCGGAATGTTGGTATTGTGTATGGGTCATGACTGAGACCATACCACCCGCATGGAACCAGAATCGCTGCAGAAACATGGAAATATTACCGTACGGCGCCATACCGAACCAGACCATGGGTATCCCGAAAAGAGGCTGCGGTGAAGAACCATCGCACTCGTGGAGAACGACAATGTCACCGTCCGCAAATAACGGTTAGTGAGCAGCTGGGAAACTAATCACAGCCGCGGCAATGGAAATTCTCGAATGGTCAGATGGTCTTTCATCGGAAGACTCTGTTTCAGAGCCATCAGGTGACGTGGGAGACTGCCGGGTTGGGTGATGTTTATATACTCCTGCCTCTCGTCCTTTGTGCCAGACGGGGGATTGTCGAGACAATCGACGATATATATATGTATTATATATACGATACACAATGCTAGACTGATATGGGACTCGACGGCGAAGGGACACATTCTTGTGTCCTTATAGGGTTTGTTCGTCGGACATTGTGTTTCTTGAGATCTTGTCTCACATCACTAGTCCGATCCGATTTGGTTTGGAGGGATGGTCAATTGCGGTCCGGAGTACAGCAATCAATGATAAGATATGATTTGGACCAACAGGTGAACTCCCTGTGCCAGGACTTATACGATTGACTGTTAAGGGGTATATGCATGAATTCATATTGGCGTCTGTTCAGGGCTTCGGGGCTCGTGTGATGTCTTCCTGGATAGGTCTAGCGCCTTATGACTCTGGAAGCGACGTTAATAATCCATCCTAATTCATATCCACCGAGTGAGGATCCAGGTTTTGCTTCAGGAGAGGATCAGGAGATGCTAAAGCCGAAATCAGAATTTTCTAGTTGGTGACTGAGTTCAATGAGCTCCGCATACTCTTTCTGGGTACAGAAAGAGCGACAGAGAGAAAGAATAAACTATATATATCAACAATTGCCGGGATGCCTTTTTTCTATATATATCTATCATAGTACAGAGTATACTCTGCCTCAGCGATACGGAAGGTTAACGTGGACCTTAATTTATTACTCCTCCGCCGTTGGACCTATTCCCCTATGTACACTGTACACCACAGGCCATCTGTTCTTTTTCTGTCTTTTACTTTCTTTGTTCTCGCATCGTGAGTCGACTTCAGACCCAGGGGCAACTTGGACGAGGATCATGATCACCAAGACCGGTGGAGCCATCCCAAGAGCAAACCAGAAAGGGTCCTTCTAGAATAGCATGATCCCTGTTTCTGATTGACTGATTGCAGATGATGTTAGGGTTGCTCAACAATGATAATCGGTTGTTGAATCTTTTTTTTTTTTTTTTTTTTTTTTTCACGATGCCCCGATAGCGGGTCAGGATGGAATGTGCGAGTCAGAGCGCTCAGCCAAGGGCACATGGGGCAATGCCCGTTCCACCAGTCCTCGTTTTCCATGAGATGATTCCGTCGCGTAATCCCAGTCTTGTCATAGTTTTAGTCTCAATAAACTTATTAGTGGCTTCTTTAGCTTCTCTATTTAACCAACCAACCAGAAATAAGGTACGGGTCAGTCGGATGTAGCGGTGGTACAGAAATTAAAGAAAAAAAAAAAAAAGATAAAAAAAAAGAATGGATGGAGTCCAGTCAACCTATGGAGTACGGACTAGCCAGTCTGACTAGTACTGTGTAGGACGGAGTACAGGAAATCATCTCAGCGCTGGACGATCACCGCGCAGTAATCACCCTGCAAGGTGTCCGGTCGATGATCATTCCCCTCCACCTGAGAGTTCAGACTGAGATTGAACTCTTATACCATGCACTTCGATCGGAAGTAAAAATAAATAAGGAGACCTCTTTCTCCCTCCCCCCACCACATTCTCTGGAATCAACCACCCAAAGTGAAACGTGGTGAATTACACAATCAGGATTTGGTCTGTGCGGCCCTGAACTTATCAGTTTTAGTACCGGAAGGCCGATCGCCGCAAAATCTTTGGTGGGGAACAAGTCAGCGCATTGCGAATTTCTACCTCTCATCCAAGTCACACCATCATCTTTTCATCATCTCACCTCCATCGCCTCCCTGCCGTTTCCCGAAGAGAGTCAGATTGTTCGCTATTTAATAGATTCCGCGTCGTTGTCGGTGCTCTTGGTTGTTGCGAGAGCCTCCGTCCCTGAACCACGACGCATCCTCAACAACACACGCGCCAAGGCCTGGTCAGCTCCGTCGAGGTCAACCACATCTCTCCCTCTCCCCTTCCCCCGACTCCCATTCCCCTGTATGGACTGCGGGAGTACTGGTACGGCTGCGGGCATTGACCCCAAAATTCTGGATAACTGGCAAACCGACGCTGCTTTTTCGATCCCCCCCTGGGAACATCCGTCATACGAGCAACCGCTAGAGTGGGACAACAGCCAAGACTCGACCCAGGACGATGCTGATATCGTCGAGTTGAATTCCCTTCCGGGGTCCCTGGCGAAAAACCATTCCAATGCCGCCTATCTAGATCAATCCTGTCGTTTCCACAGTGGTGAGAACAGGTGCGGTTTCCCCTGACCTTCTTGTCCCGTGTATCAAGCTGATGGGGATCACCCTGATAGCAAGACGACCTCACCGGAGAAATTTAGTATCCACGATGGACCGATCGAGGGCACCGTCAGCGGCACCGTCAGTCCGAGAACCTTGCCATCCTCGGCCGACGATAACTTCCAGCTGGATGAGTCATGGCCACATTTTCCACTGTTCAACGCCATGACGGCCGGAATCCCCATGGATGCACCGCCGCTCCTCTATCCCTACAGCAAAGAACCCGCCGCCTCGACGAACACCGTCATTGTCGATGATGTAGGGGAGCTCCCGCAGGGGCATGGGCTGTCGGACATCCCACCGGAGCACTTTTTGGCGTTTCAGAGCATGCCCCAGCCCTTCACCTTCAATGCTCCGGACGTTTGGACGGAGCCTTCTACTAACCCTTCCCCCGAGAGCATGGCGAATCAAACAACCCCAGCTACGATTCCCCTGGGATCGGAACTGCCAAACAAGGAAATGAACATGGTCCGCGATTTTCAGACCCCGTTGAGGTCCCTCGAATCGCGCTGGCTCGACAGTCTGGAATCCCAGCTTCCCTCGAACATGACCTCGCCGGCCTCACTGTCAACTATCCCGCCGGGCCCGGGATTTTTCAAAGAAGAAAAACTGGGACAGGATGGCTTTCAGTACAAGTCGGAGAGTTCGTCGGTGTCCGGCGACCTTTCTGCTGGTGTATACGAATGTTCCTATTCTGCGACGAGCGACGATGCCCCGGCATTCGCTGATCGACAGCTGGACGAAGAAGGACCTTGGAAGGGCGCTCAGAAGGATGAGCCTGAGATGGCACAGCCCCTTCCGAGCGCGACGGCGTTTATGGTGAGTGAGACGCCATCAGAGTCATTCTTTGTTGCGGTCCCATCACGGTCTCGGGCATCATCGTCGGCAGCACAACGGTCGACTGTTCGGCCACAGGCGCTCGCACTGCAGTCTGCGGCGACTGTTCGGAAACGTAAACAGCGCGGCTCGAACCATTCTTTGGACCTCGGTCAGCCCAAGCCCCTGCAGATTGTTCAAGAGGATGGTCAGGGCGGATCCATCGCTTCCGCGGACTTCGTCTCCCCGCCACGCGGGGCGCGCCGTAAAGGACCTCTGAGCATGGTCGGTCGGGCAAACGCTGGATTGCGCAGGAAGAACAAGGATACCTGCGTGCAGTGTCGTCTGAACAAGCGAAAGGTATGCTTCCCCGGGGATCACCCTTTTGACTCGTAGCGAGTACTAATGAGATCGGAACAGTGTGACGGAAACGCTCCATGCGATGCTTGTCGTCCTACGCTCCACGAGCAACCGTGTGCACGGGCTTGCTTTGCAAACATTGTGGAGTATGGAACATGTAACTATGTCTGTATGTAGACTCTCCATTTGTTGCCATTTTGGTCATCTACTAACAAACCTAGCTCAACGGGCCGTCAACCACCCTACATTGGATAGGACAGGCCGCGTTCGGATGGATATTCCGGTCGAGTTCGACTTGAACGATCTCATCTCGTTCCTCGGTGAACGGCAAGGACGATTCAACATCCGCGCTAGTCAAGCCTGGGGTTCTCTATATGTTCTTGACCTGGGAGAAACTTACAAATTCCTGAGGAGCCTGAGCGATTACAATGGCAACTCTCGGTCGAACTTCCTCGAGTTCATCGACCGACGGATCGTCGAATCGAAAGATAAGTCGAAGAACTGGCTGACCTGTGTCAAAGATTGTGACCCAATGAACAATTTCTATGTGAGTATCCCAACCGTCTCATTACGTGAACGAGATTGCTGACGATCTTGCACCGCAGACTTTACTCTCACGTTGGAACAACATGCCCAGTCGTGCGAGCTATAGTTTTGTTCCTCTCCACTCAGGAGCCCAGGAAAGGCCAATGGATATCCATAATGCGGACGATCGACGTGAGATTCTCCTAGCGGCGCAGCTTTCCCGCATTGTGTGCCGGATGCTGGAGGTTGAAGGGTTCCGGAAGTTGGAACGAGACTTCTACAACATCAAATGGAAGCAGATCTCCCAGGAGACGCACCTGCGTTTCTTGAACGAGCTAGGAAATATTCTCCTCACACTCCGCTGGCGGGTGTCCTGGTGGAAGCGCCTTGGAGATGGTGGCCAAGAGCCCGACCCGAGCAAGCAGCACTATGTGGATCGTGTCGACCTGCTCTGTCGGATTCTCTATGTGTATTACACCTGCGTGTTGGCTAAGCTTCCTTCCTGGTGCGCCGCCGAAGTTCCCAAGGGGGTGTGGTCGACCTACGCCGACACCGAGAATGCGGTCTGGGATGACTTCCCAGTCGACCCTACCGATGATGGATTCCAGCGATGGATCGACCGAGGCAAGGAGCTGGTCGAACAGGCGGGTGCCCCGAATGGTACCTCTAAGATCGCCCATTAGAAGCGACAAAAAAACCCTAAAAAGGCGAAATCAGCGGTGGACTGGAACGGAAACAAGATTTGAGATACCCTTTACAGCGTCTTTTCTATTCGATTAACATATTTTTTTTTCTTGCTTTTTCTTTTGCTTAATTTCCTTTCCCGTCGTCGTCTCAGGTTTATGATTTACGATGATTCGGTGGTTTTTATCTTGGGCTACGATTTGATAGATCGCGTGTACGTATGTGCCTACAGATAGTACATACTTTCCTTCCCATGAAATACATAGCAGATAGACATAGACTCTAGACTGTCCGGTCCGGTTCAACACAGGTCCCCTTCTGCATGCAGCATACGACTTCAATCACAGTGTTCAACAGGGTATCTATAAATATCATTACTCGTATCGCTATAGTATACTATCGAACAACCCATCATCCTCATACTAAATCTCACAAAACCAATGCATGTCGAAGAAAAAAAAAAAAAAGACATGTCCAGGAATTGCGAAAAAGAGATCCACCACACCAGACACAACACAACTTATTTCCCACCCTTATTCCCATTCCCACTCTCTTTCTTCTTATCCTTCTTCCCTCCAGCCAGCAGCTCCAAATGCCCGGCCTTCTGCGCAAGATTCCGCTCCGTCTTCGAAATCAACCCGGCCGTAAGTTTCTTCAAAGCAAAAAATCAGCAAATCCTGCCCTAGCACCCCAAAAGCAAAAAGCAACACAAGGAAAGGAAAAAGAAAAAAAAAAAAGAAAAGACAAACCTTCGTCATCTTCTGCTGCTTAATCAACGACTGCTTCTTCGGCGCAATCTGCCTCGGACCAGGCTTTGGGCCCAGAGCACGTGGCCTAATTCACTCACTCTCATCAGCCTCTGCGCAACAAGATATTATATCATATCTTCCCGGGAATGCGTCCCAGCTACTCGGGATTCCATGCGATAGAGGAAAAAAAAAAAAAAAGGGGATTCCAGAGTTAGATTTGTAGCGTACCGTTTCGGGCCCGTGCCGGCCTTCTTTTTCAGGGAGCCTTGCACCATTATTTCGTTTTTGTTTCTGTTGGATGGAATGGAGGAGGAAGTGTATGCCGTGGATTGGGAATGTACTGCCTGCAGCACCTTTTGGGGGGGAGAGAGAGAGTGCGTTTGGTTTTGTTTGGGGTTGTTTTTTTGCGAGTTTTTTTGGTTGCGGTTGGAGATGGGGTGGAAAATCCTTATCGGGGTCTTTATCTGTCACGTGAGGGGTTTTTCTTTTGGGGGTATGGGATGATGGGTTTGAGGTGCGGGTATTATTATGGCTTGTTTGAAATGGAGGTTCTGGGTGGAAAGGATTTTGTTTACTGTTGAGTGATTGGATTTTGTAGTTGGATAGTTTATGTACTATACTCTACTCTACTTGACCGCACGGAGTTGAACTACGGAAAGTTGAGTGCCGAAAACATGTGCCATTAGAAACTAAATGCTAAATCATGTCCATGGAAAGAATACATGAGAAGTTCATTACATGAAGAGAAGGTATCACGTGAGTCGAGCGAACGACTCGAGAAGTGGGGCGTGTTTATGGTCTGAGAAAACACACCTGGGTGAGGTGCAACGAAGAGCTGATATTACTATCTGCTAGAAGGCAAGCCTTCGGAGAATAAAAAAGGATGGGGAATTCTTGTGTACAAGAAGACTGGGCCGGTCTACCCGGATCGCCAGGCGCTTAGAAAGCGAGGACAGCAAGAACACCAGCAGCGGCGGCACCGAAGCTGATAGCGTTGCGGTCAGCACCGCTGGTGAACAGAGGAACACCAGGGGTGGTGCTGGAGGCAGTGCCAGAGGGAGCGGCGGTGCTGCGCAGGGTGGTGGGGAGGTAGGGGGTGTTGGTGGGAGAGACGACAGGGATGCTAACGCTGCCAGTGCCCCAGGAGTGAGACTGAGCAGGGGGGATGACAGGAGCGCTGGTCGAAGCGGTAGGAGCGACGGTGGCGGGAGCGGTCTCGGTCTCAGGGCAGATAGTCGTGGTGATCTCATAGGTCACGTAAGAGGTGGCAGAAGAAGAAGGAGCATCGGTGTTGGCAGCGGTCGAGGTGGGAACCTCGGGAGCAGCAGAGGAAGAGGAAGAAGAAGCGCCGCCGTTAGGGTTGGAGATACCGAACTGGGTGGAGTACTGGTACTGGCCAGTTCCCTCAACGACCAGGAGGAGACCGTAGTGGGTGACATCGGCCTCAAGGCTGGTGCTGGGAGTCCATTCGAACTTGCCGGTGTTGGGGATCTGCTCGGCAATAGTCTCGAGGGTCTGCATGTTGGTGCTCTCGCCACGGAGAAGGACCAGAGAGACGGTACCCTCGGTGGTCGGGCCCCAGGTGATGGAGTAGGGCTTGCCCACGGGCACGGCCTCGTTCAGACCGGGAGTGTAGATGGGGTTGCCAGTGGGACCCTGGTTGTAGTCAGGGGCGGTGTGGGCAGTAGCCAGAGCCGCGAGGGCAGTGAAAGCACCGAAGATGGAGAAACGCATTTTTGCTTTCTTTATTTCAATTGGTCCGATATCGACGCGAAAAAAATAGAGATAATCTCGAGATGGTATGCGAGAGCTGGAAAGCTGGGAAGCTGTAAATCAAGGAGTGACTGGAGTGGGAGGTAGTGTCTGAGACAAAAGAATGACTGGTGTGCGAAAAGAACGACAACACTGAGAGAAGGAAAAGAAGAAAAGAAAGGACGAGAGGAGGGGAGAGGGGGCAATAAAAAAGGTTTCCAGAGGAGTGTCACTGCAGCTAAGCCTTAGGGTGGCCTTGTCACTGACCCCCTTGGGAGGTGGAATCTTGTCTCTTCTTGCGGCTCATTTCACCAACAGTGGGGCCATAAGAAATGAAATCAAGATGGAGTACAGGACTCTCCGTCCAATCCTAACGGGCGCGTGCCTGGCATTCGTTGAGACATCCTAAATTGTGGAATGCTGGACGCTAACCTCGCCATCCTCCAGACGTCCAGGCTCCTGAAAGGATGTTACCTCACTGGACTCGGGGCCCTCTGACTGGCTTGTCGCAATTTTAGTGACTGCTAGCTCGACAGATCCTGGAGAAACCAACAAGAACTTTGTGAACAGGCCTGAACTCTGGGAAAGTCCCTGATGCTCATGATTGGCGGATCATTGGTTCAGTGTCCAGCAATTAGCTGGCACTAACAATAGGAGACTTCACGAAAGCGCATCAAAGAGGGGCCGAAATTGTACTGTAGGAGGGCCCCTCGTCTCGTGGATCCTTTGCCATTTTGGTTAGGGTCGTTAGTATCAAAAGCTAAGGACTAACGGTGCCGAGCTTATGAAGTATATCCCAGCCCTCGTTCTGCACCCTTGCATGGCCGTGGGGAGGCGTTGGTGCAGTGGGATATCGTAGAATTTTCTTTTCCTCGTTTTAATCCAGAGTCAGGAATGTGGCATGTCAAGCCATCCGAGAAAGATGTGGAGGTTGTTTCGTCGAGGAATGAACCAGCATAATTCTGATCGACAGAGTGAAGGGAGGACAAGAAAAAAAAAAAAAAATACAACGCGGGGGGGCGTGATTAATTTTCTTGGCCCTCAGGCACCCAACAATGGGCGCCATGACTTCAGCCTCCCGTAGATACAGTACGACGGAGTACAGACTACATACAGGCGACATACCGCGCACATACATACAGCAAGTACCCTGTACCTTGCCCTCATCCCTGTCTCATTCTAACTTCCGGAAAATGTCCGAACTTCCACTTTCACACTCCATCAAATACGCAGTACGATGTCCACCAGTTCATCCTCGACGTCTTTCGATTTCTTGTTGCCAGGATTTTCTCCTTTTCAGGTCGACTCATTACCACTGCCTTTGTCTTCTTCACAGGAATTGTTTTCTCTCTTTTTCCGACATCAACAAGATGAGATGGGCGCCACCAGGCGGTGTCGGTCATCTTTTAGCCGCCAGAGACTGAGATTTTTAATTTTAATTGCCGGAGTAATCAAACTAAGTATCTCGTGTCCACTCTCCAGAGGGGAGAGACAGAAATAATAATAATAATTATAGTAATAACAATGATTATGAACAGTGGATAATTTTACTGTCCCCCACCCACACAATGCAATGCGCGGTCACGACATTCACCCACACACGGTCGCTGATCGAATCGTCTCAGAAACCTTTTTGTTTGAGACTCAAAAAGGTCCCCTGACTCTGATCCTGATCCTTGCGATAAGCCGATCCTGATCATCACAACGGATCCCCGCAAACAGAGAAGATCGCAACTTGGGATAAACGTATGAAGTCATCCCGTGTCTTTTCTCGGGAGGGATGTTCGTTGGCTTTGTCGCTCATTTCTTGTTCCTGACTTTGTCGGTGGAGCCGGCCGACGGATTCTTCTGCCACTAGAAACGTCGGAACGGGGCTGACATTTTGATTACAGTTTTGATTACGGTGCACCAGGGAAATTACCCAATGGCTCAAAGACCAACCATGTCAGGTACAGATCCAACTCTGTGGAAAAGAAAAAAGAAAAATCTCCGATGGAAATCGCCGCAACCCAGACTCCGGGGCCAAGCCCAGGCATCGAGCCCTGTGACTCAGGTCGGCCCAATCCGAAGGACTGGCAGATGTCCATTGTCGCTGCAAAGTGCTACAGTGTCACTGACCATGTGCCATAGACTGCAGTGGCGTCCGAGACTAGTGCAGGTGTCTCGGATGCTGATTGCTGAGCCCAGGCTGCCTATCTACTGGCTAGTTCTGCCTAACCCATGGTTCAGCCGGGGTGGAGTTCGCCGGGACTAAAATTAACATAAACAAAGTCTGGTGGTACGAGAGCCAAGCATGGCCTGCTTGAGTTGGATTTACCCAATGTCTTGACTTGCACTGCCCACCAGCTATCTTTAGCCAGAATAAGAAATCCATGGCTGGTGAATAGAGTATTCGGTGGTGAATTGCTGGTAGATTGACTATACTGTCTTGTGCACAGCCGTATACCGAAAAAGGTACTTGCACTTTTCCCTTTGCAAATAGCGGTCAACACTGGACCCAACACATCCGAAAGCACACTGAACTACCGAAGATGGCATTTGTGCTTTCGAGGCGGACGATGCAACCTTACAAATGTTCACTTTCAGCTCCTCCAGAAACGAGTGTGCTGATTGGTCGTTCCTCGCTTTGATATGGTCTAGATGCGGTACTACTCGTGAATGATGAGACAAGTCCGGGAACTATTGAAATTGGTTTCTTGGATGGAATGGGGATATATTATAGTGGAGGGGCGGTTCCTAATCTTGTACCCTGGGCGCGGATAAACGGTACCTTTCGGGGAACCCGCCAATGTCTCAGAGGTATCTACTGCACCCAGGTAACTGTCTTGGTTTGCAACCATTCATCGTATGCGGCGGGTCCTCCGAACCGGCCATACCCGCTGCTTTTCCATCCACCGTGTGGCAAGACTGGTTCGTCGTGCACGGTGAGGGAGTTGATATGGACAGCCCTAAACGCTCATCAGCAAGTGCCACGATAAACTCATGCGAGGGGTACTCACCCAGACTCAATCTGCTTGGCCACCCGTAGTCCCCGGAAGAGATTGTCTGTGAAAACTGCCGATGTGAGGCCGTATTCGGTGTCATTGGCCAGCGCCACCGCCTCTTCTTCAGTGTCGACGACCATGAGGGAAACGGTAGGGCCGAATGATTCTGCAGAATAGAGGTCCATATCCTTGGTGACATTGCCCACGATCACAGGCCGCAGGCTATTACCGGACTCCTCAGAGGGATTGCGCTCTCCATAAACAAGGTCGGCACCCTTCGAAAGCGCATCAGACACTAAGTGCTTGTTTTTTTTTACTGCAGCAGATGCCACAAGAACCGGTGCCGGTGTATGTTTCCCGAACACGGTCTCGGATGCATCCGCCAGCAGGGTGCGGAATCGGTCAGCGATGGACCGCTGCACGACGATGCGCTCGGTGGACATGCAGATTTGACCGGACTAAAATCGTGTCAACGACACTAGTGACGACCATCAGATAAAGTGTACTTACATGCATGAATGCCCCAAGACTACAAGACATGGCGGCCCTCTCCAGGTTGGCATCGTCCAATACAATAGCTGATGCCTTGCCGCCCAGTTCGAGGACGACGGGCTTCACATATTTACCGGCAGTGGATGCGATGATAGATCCTACTTGGGTGCTGCCGGTAAAGCTGATTTTGCGAACGGCTGGATGGGCAATAAGAGCAGTGGTCACAGGCGCTGCGTCAGCGGGTCGGTGGTAGACTACATTGAGACATCCTGCGGGAAGACCAGCTTCCCTGAAGATATCGCCAATAGCCCAGAAACACTTGGGGGAGAGTTCGGAGCCCTTTAAAACTGCTGTATTGCCTGCGGCAAGTGGAAGCGCGATGGCGCGGGTCCCAAGTATATAGGGAGCGTTCCTGAATGCAGATGGTTAGTAACGACCAAACTTATCTCTGTGCTGATTGATGCTTTGCGTCTACGGTGGGAAGTACATACCATGGCGCAATTCCCAAGACCACCCCGTAAGGCTCTTTGAAGACCATCGCACATTCGCCCTCTTCGGATACCGATGGGACTGAGCCCTCGATGGATGGAATTCGTGCAGCGAAGTCCTTGATGAATCTGGCGCCCATCTCGAATGTCTTCTCCACGAACATTCTGCCCGCGCCCGTCTCCTCCATTTGATACTTGATCAATTCCTCCCTTCGGGAAAGCATAATGTCTGCCGCCTTCGTGAGGATATCCCTACGATCGTACGGCTTTGTCTTGCTCCACGCCGGGAAGGCTGCCTTCGCTGCCTCCACCGCACGGTTGACATCGTCAACGGACGCACTGGCACAGCGGTCAATGACTTCACCCGTCGCCGGGTTGTGCACATCGAAGATAGTCTCCGTCACGACCGAGTCATTGTTAATGATCAGCGGGATTACCCCTTTGCTGTTCGTACCGTTTGCAGACATCCTTTTGATTTTTTTACTCTCCCCTTGCTGAATCAGCAGCACCCGTGAAAAGGAATCGAACTATTCTTAGTCAAGTGAACGGCTTTCTATAACGGAGCCAAGGTAGGGCCGCGAGGGGAGAGGTGTGTTATATTTAAAGGGGGAAAAGGACGGGAGAGCAAAGAATGGTCCCAGACCGACGGCGCAACCCAAAAAGACAGTTCCCAATAAGCATGGCCGTTGGAGACACTTATGCATCGACTAAAGTGAGGGGAGAGAATTTCGGTAACTTTCCCGGCAGTGGAGCCGAACCTGTACAACTTCCGGTCAAGGGAGACGACGATCTGGAGCCTTCTTTGGGGCTCGTTGTGGGTGTTACGGTCTTCTCATTCGCTCCTGGGAGTGGTACGCTTTGCAGCCCAATCGAGGTTTGGGGAGTTTGTCTTTACCCCGGAACGTGATGGTCGCATCTTGTCTTTGTTCGTTGCGTCTTTTCTTGCAAATAAGATTAACTAGGGGGGCAGGACGACAACAAATCAACTTCACTCTCGGGGATGGTCGTGGTTGCTGGTGCGGGACAACCATGTCAACACCATCAACACGCTGTCCGACTCTGACTCGTTTCTTTTTGTTCCGATACCATTGATATCGGCGCTGCTGGCCAGGATGATGTTCGAGGCACGTCACTAACCTCCAACATGCATCATGGGCGACTTGCATTGGAATGCGGACGCGGTGGGGTTGGACACAGCAATCAAGGGCCAATCACAACCTGCTGTCACTACATGATTCATTGTGCCCAATTTGCCGCCATGCTGCTCCGCGCGGTCTTCTGTAAGGTACCCCAACCTGCCGTACACCGTAAACCCCTAAATCCGTGAGAGCGAGTTGGGGTCCTTGTGAGTTCTGTTGGTCGCTACCGTAAAGGCTTATTCCGTAAAACCGAGGTGGGTCTTCCAGACCAATACTCCATACCGTTGGCAATAAGATGATCTCCTGAAGTGGTTTCTGATATATTGACGCCCCTGGACTCGGGACTCGGGCCCTCTCACGGAAAACTGAAAGGATGGCAGGTGATCGACGCGATCTCGTGATTTCACCCGAAAGTAGCTGCAGCGTCCAATCTACCTTATTTTATGTAACTATCTCTTCTGCCTACATCGTGTTTGAATCACTCCCCACTGGCTAGGAAAAGCGACCAGGATATTGCGAGGGTCTTCAAAGTTTTAATGTCTTCCAGAAAGAGAACAGAGCAAAAAATCCCTCATCTGCTTCGGCCATCTCCAGCTGCCATGTCTTGGCCCAATAATTGATCGCAATGAAAACTTAATCTGAAAAAGATTGAATTTTGACAACTTCCCTAGTTGACATAACCGTGGATCCGCCCTGCATCGATTCTTCGAAACTTCGTCGGGGACCTTCATTGCACGCGATATATCCGCCCGAAGCTTGGAAATCCGTCTCCCGATGAATCGGGCTTCAGAACAAAAGTTTGTTTCCGTATTCCCATGGCTTCGGTGGTCTCGATTCCGATATGCAATGATCTCTGTCTTCCGGGTTGGGAGTGACGAAGGATCCACATCACATAATCAACAAAAAATCATATGAAAAAAAAAAAAACCGAAATCTGTCTGTTGCTTGCTTCTATGCTAAGTAGAGATAGAGAGGGGATGCCATAGACCAGTAAGTGGATATCGTTGGATTATATTGTGCAAAAGATCAGAAAGCCCAAACACCCGCCATGCATGCTTCTAGACGAGCAAAAGCCCCGTCAACACTCTCGAAAAGAAATAAAGAAAAAGAGGAACAAAGAATAGAAAAAGAAAAAAAAGGAGGTAATCATCTAGTCCCTTACGCCAGCCATGCCTTTTGATTCCTGAATGCTTTCCTTGCCGTGGCGCATCATAATTTGCTTCCCAGATAAGCTTTCTCGACCGATTAGCAATTATTGGTCAATCACTTCCCAGCCCAGATCTTCGTCTCCGACGTCGACGCCGCCGAATTGCTCATGACCATATCCGCAAAGGGGCATGCCGAGATCGTGGAAGGCGCAATGCTGGGGGCTATACTGCTGTGCACACTGGAGCGATCGTCGTCGCTTGAGCTGGCGGACGTGCTGCTGCTGTCGCCCAGGATCTTCTTGTCGCCGAGGAATCCCTCCCGCTCGTCCAGGGTCATTTGCGACATCTCATCGGCATATTCTTCGCCGTCGCGGATCCGCCACTTGGCGATGAGGTCGTTCTGGATCCAGATGATTTTGCCGATGGCGCGGACGAGGGCCACCTTGCGCTGCAGCTGCAGGCGCGGGTGCGACATCAGCGCTTCGGTGAAGATGTCTTGGATGAAGCCCAGACAGGCGCCCATGTGGATGTATTCGATGTTGAGAGGGTGCATGCGTTCTTGTGCGGCGTGCATCAAGCTGATCAATCACCACCGTTAGATCCCGAGATCGACACCAACGTGCAATGGTCACGTAAGAGGAAACTCACCCAACTTTATTCAGATACCGCCAGAACTCCGTCTGGGTGGGATCCGAGCAGAGCTTCGTCAAGTACCACCGGAGGAACATCTTCCGGCGCAAGATCTGCGGACTCTCCTCACTGTAGAACTCTTCGATCGGTCTCTCGTCGGCCGTATCCCGGGTGTGGAAGGCCCGGGCCGTGATATCCTGCTCCAGGAGTTTCTTGTAGACGATGTTGACGACGGCGGGGATGAGGGCTTTGATGTACTTGGAGCCGGTTGTCAGGGCTTCGATGTCAGCTGATGGCGATGACCGCGTTAGCATCCGTTTACGACCAGTGATTATCCACGAGAGATAACATCCACAGTAGAGCATACCAGAATTGAAGTCCAGGAAGTCCTGGAGATAGTTGATGCGGGCCTCGAGCCGGGTGTAGAGTGCCTTTCGGTCGACATGTTTTATGGGCCGACTGGAGTCGAAGTATAGTCCTTCCATCTTGGCTTGCTTGGAGTAGAGTAGGGGGGAGAGATGAAGGATGCAAATTGTTTCCTGTTGGAAGGATTGAACTAAGAAGCAGGAGAGATCTTAGTTACGAACACCTGGGGTTATCTTGGAGTTATAGATGGGAAAGATAGAAGGATGGTAGAAGAATCTAAGAAACGATGATGACTCAAGACCTGGCCGGAGACGTGAGGTATTGCATGATTATATAGATCTATGGAGACCTTGGCTCACAGGATTGAAATAATAAAATAATAATAATTAAGGGTTTAATAATAAAAATAATTAAATGGAAATAATTAATGAGCCCAAAGCCAGGACAAGGAAAGCATACTATCAATCCACACGGAAGCCTTCCATGGTATCCAATGCCGAAGAAAAAAAAAAAAAAAACCGCTCACAGGCAGATCATTTCACCCTAAGAATGAAAGAAAAGGGCAGAAAAAGCCAAAAATACTGATAAATTCAACTCCATTACGAGGCGCATTTGTCAGGCCAGAGAAAAGAAAAGGATCCCGAAACCTGGCGATATTACCTACCGAGGATAACAGGCTTTTTTTTTTTTTTTTT